TAGTGCTGCATATTTTTGGATAATAGGCTATCTAAAGTCAGAATACAGTTTTACTATTATTGGCGAATTTCCAAATCAATTCATAATTAACAACTGATCTGTTTTTATGACCTTTATGGAAAAGTAACTTTTTTATTAAATTTTCCGATTTTATGTTGGTGAAATTATATGTTCAAATTCTTACCATGATGGGTGGGTAAATGATTCATCTATAGCCACACTCACACCCACCCCGAAAAAAACAGATATTAGATCCTGCAAGATCCAATGAGGTCTTACTCCTATAAGGTTTTTTCTATGATCTTGTTACAATAGCGGACAATATCTTACATGTTCATTTTTTTAAAGATGTTCTCAGATTTTGATTGTGCGGTGTCAGCAAATAATCTTACAAGACTCAATGATTAAGACACTGATTTGGACAGACTGGATCCTTCTTGTCAGATCTTAACAGATCATATAAGATCCAAAAAAAGAAACATACACGGTACATAATGTCGATCTTGTCTGTTAGTATCTGATCGTGTACGGTCTGTCCTGTTTCTTTCTCTTATTCGAGAATAGTTGATTCCATCAGCTTTCCGATGAAGAACAGTACCTGAGAAAAAGACTCGAATAGTTTTTGTCAGTTTTTTTTTTTCTTCTTTTTCTATACTAATAGTGTAGAAAACGGTTATTTTTATTTTTCACCTTTCTATATTAATAGAGTACAAAACGGTTACTTGTATTCCTCATTTTTCTGTAGTGATAAAATAGTAAATCCTATTTATTTTTTATTTTTCCATATTGATGATATAGAAACAGCTAGTTTTATGTCCTATTTGTCTATAATAATAATAATAATAATTTAGAAAATGCTGATTTTAATTTCTTATTTTTTGCATTGGTCATATGGAGAATGTTATTTTTTATTTTTCTACATTGGTAATAATGATAACAATTTGTTTTATTCTCTATTTTTTGTATATTGTTTACATAGAAAATCTTAGTTTTTATTTTGTATTTTTCTATATCGATAATATAGAAAAATAAGAATTAAAACTAACTGATATGTATATTATCAATTAAAATCAATAAGAATTCAAAAATAAGATTTTCTATATTATCAATATAAAAAATCAGAAATAATAAATAAAAATTTCTAAACTGCCAATTTAGAAAACAAGAAATGAGAATTAAGATTCTTGTATTATTGATATAGAAAATAAAAGCAATAAAACTAACTGTTATCTATATTACCAACATAGAAAAATTAAAATTAAAACTAATTGTTATTTATATTATTAATATAGAAAAATGAAAAATAATGAATAGGATTTTATATAATATCAAATATAGAGCAAATGTTGACTGTACTTGTTCTAAAATAAGACTGAAGTTTATGTGCAAAAAAACGAAGCAAAGTAGCCGATCAGACTGATCATTTCCATGTGTATAAGAAATATTTGAGAAGTTTGATTTAATTGAAATAAATCTATAATATTAATAAGCATCTCATATAGCTCTGTATCATTATGAATAAGCAGAACACAAAATTGCCTACTAGAATTTTATGTCTCATAATCTCTTTGATTTAGAGAGCAGAAAGTGTTGTTTTGATTCTGGCTCTCATCTTCGAGTTGTTTGACACATAATTAAAGGTCTCATACCGTTTTACATGTATTTGTTTTTTGTCGATGGAAGAAAAGAAATAATACTAAAATGTACTTTCTTCCAATTGCACTGAGACATTAAACGTATTAAAAATACATGACATTACATGTAATCAAAATGAAAATTGATTAAATAGTATTAAATTTAATCAAGATCTCGATTATAGCTAGATTCTTCATAGATAAATTAAAAAGGATGAAATTATTTAAATTATTTTTTGGGAGTTTATAAAACTGCATGACATTTTTTATTAACTTCATCGATTCTGTAACTGTCCATACAAGATATAATCATAGAAGTATTGTTTCTAGTTTAAAGCTCATATCAATATCAATATCAACCTTTAGAAAATTCTAGACCAACAATAAAAATTTGAAGAAGAAATCTTCACACTTATTGCTATTGAGAATAGCTAAAATCATGATGAAATCTTTTACGATCGTTGCTTTTTTGTGAGAATCCCCAAAAATTTATACCTATTGAATAACGTACAAAACAAAAACTTGTAAATATTTTAGATTAAGGTTTCGATAGAAGATTCATATTGTCTTGTAAAGAAGCGAAAATATTTAATTGTAGAAAGTTCGAAATCGATCCTTGATCGAAACTACTATTGTTTAAAAAACCGTGTTTCATACCCTACTAAGTTGAAAATTTGTAATACATTAGAAATGAATTCAAAATAAAAGATTTGATTGATTCGTATATAGATCATTGTTTGTGCTATAATGCAGAATAATGAACATGACAGATTCTTCAAATATTCTTGAACTTGGGAAAGATTTGTTTTTGAGTTCTTCTTATCTACTAAAATTTGAACTTACGTATTTTTTTATCAAAACTTATCTTATTTAGTACTTCGATTAGCCTTTTTTTCAAACTACTTGTTTGTTTGAGATTCAGGAATAAATTACTCAATAATAAGTATGATGCAAAATTAATGGCATAAAATACTTTAGAATGATGTATGATTTATATTTGTCACACTCGTAAATGGAATAAGAAAGTAAAATACTTACACAAAAAATTTGTAATTTTTTTATATGAATCAGTCAAAAACGTCTTATACATGGTAGTTAAGTATAATTAACTATCGTTATTATCTAGCAAGATGTTTTTAACGAATTCATATAAAAGTTGCAAATTTATTTTGTCTCATTTCACTCAGAAATGTGTCACGAACATAAATCATACACTGTTTCCTATCAACTGATAACAAAATTGTTTTTTCCTTACGTTCAAATTCTATTATAACTCATTTTATTGTAAAATCCAAACAATAAAAAATGAAATAATTTTTAAATATATTTCAAACTCGAACTAACGAAATCAGTGAATATGTTGGAAAAATTTGATATAAAAGAAAATTTCATTTACGATAAAATCCGAGTTTATCGCAATTTCTCACATTACCAGTTAAATTTTAGTTAGTTTCAAAATATTTGATAAACGTCAACAATATTTGTTTTCAACATTGAGAAAAACCAGATTCTAATCAAGTTCATACGTAAAAAGCTTTTGTAATTGAGAGCAGTTCAATACTGTTTAAAACAAATGAGAAGGACTCAATGCAATGAAATCGGTATTTATTTTTACTTCATACTTTTGTTTCATTTTAGTACCAATGCGTGCAAGTTCCATTGATATTCATCGGAATGCAAAATGGTCACAGAATGGTATCACTGTTGCTGGAGGAAATGGACATGGCAGTAAAACCAATCAACTCCATTGGCCATGGGGTTTGTACGTCGACGACGATCTAACGATTTATGTCGCTGATTATGGAAATCACCGTATTGTGGAATGGAAATCTGGTGCAACGAATGGAAAAGTAGTTGCTGGTGGAAATGGAGAAGGAAATGGAGCTCATCAGTTAAACTGCCCACTAGATGTGATTATCGACAAAGAGAGCGATTGTCTCATCATCAGCGATTGGCAGAATAAAAGAGTAGTTCGATGGCCTCGTCGAAATGGTACTCGTGGAGAAACAATTATTTCAAATATCTCCTGCATCGGTTTGACAGTGGACGACAATGGTTATCCCTATGTCGTTGATGATGAAAAACATGAAGTGAGACGATATAAAATTGGTGACACTAAAGGAACAGTAGTTGCAGGTGGCAATGGAGAAGGAAATCGTCTTGATCAACTCACTGGGCCCCACTACGTATTTGTCGATCGAGATCATTCAGTTTATGTGTCTGATTTTGGAAATGATCGTGTAATGAAATGGGAAGAAGGTGCAATACAAGGCATTGTCGTAGCCGGTGGTCAAGGACAAGGAAATAGTCTCACACAATTAGATTGTCCTCAAGGAGTTGTTGTCGATCAATTGGGTACTGTATATGTGATTGATGATGAGAATCATCGAATCATGCGTTGGCCAAAAGGAGCCACACAGGGAAGTGTCATTGTTGGTGGAAACGCTGAAGGAGCACAGTCGAATCAACTCAGTTATCCTATAGGTTTATCATTTGATCGACATGGCAATCTCTATGTCGTCGATTGGGGAAATCATCGAGTACAAAAATTTAATATCGTATGAAATTCAATACGATGATGAATTTTATTTTCTTTTTTGTTCTCTTTCTCTTACAAATAAATCGCGATTGAATGAAAAAATGAATTCATTGCTATTCTATTCTCTTCGCGCGCGCGACCAGGAACCATCCTGGTGAAGCCGTGGCGAGCGTAAAGCTCATGCACGCGCGGGAAGACCCACATCATTCACATGCATCCATCCGATGTCATATGTCAGTGAGTCTGGGGGCCCGATCGTGTGCCACGGACACCAAGACAGTTCCTGGCCAGGCTTTTAGGGACTACCCGGAAGTCCTTCTTATAAAGCGAAACCCTAAACTCAACGTACCTCACTCACCCTAACTATTCTCATCTCAACAAAGAAAAGAAAAAGAAAAACATGAATATAAAAGATCACAAGAGGACTTACCACCCTCTGTATGATCCAATAAAGAAAAAAAAAGAAGAAAAAAATAAAAACTGATACCTACATTTTTTTGTTGTCTTGATTTGAATTGAATTGTATAATTTTGTATCGTTGCAGCCAATCTAAAATATAAAAAAAAGATTAGAATTTGATTCAATAAATTGAATGATTTTTACATGGAAAATCATTCATATTTATACGTTAAAAAGTCGATAATTTTCTTTTTTTTTTCTCGTCAGAGAGTGATGAAAAGATGATAATAATTAAGCTATTATCAACATACACGCATACATTGAGATAAAGTCAATCACAGTATCTCAATGTATGTGTATGGATAATGCTTAATTGACGTACACACTCATTATGTCATATTATCATTGATCATCAATGACAACATGAAGTATAACTTACGGACGAGAGAAGAAAAGAAAAAAAAATTATTGTCTGGACCTGTTTTTCATCCTTGTCTCTGTCATGTTCATTTGTGAGCACACGAAGCAGGCGAACACACAATATTCAAGTATGTGTTCATCATTGAATTCTTTTCTCTTTGTTCGATAGATCAGCAGCAACATGGAAAAATTTTTATCATATATTCGCAATTTTTAATATGTAAAATATGAATTTATTGTAATTATTGTAACTTGTCAACCTGAAGGGCGTCATTTGTCTGATTTGAATTCTATATGGGTTGCTCGAAATCAATTTATTTTTCTTGATAAAAAAATTATATTGTAAGTTTAAATTTGTTTCTTTTTTTAAATTTTTTCATTAATTTTTTAGGTTGATACACGTCTTTTATTAATTCGTGAAAATTATGATATTATTTTATATGATGCTCAACAAAAGCGCTCATTAACAAGCATAAGAAAAAGCAATATAGTCAAATGATAAAGTATGCCCTTATTAATGGTGATCATGGAATTATTTTTACAGTTGATTTACCTATTTATAGAACAAAAGTTAATGAAAATATTGTTTTTTTTTGTTTTCATACAGAAGTTCGACCAAAATTAGATGGTAAAGATTGTTGGGAAAAATTAACTTTTATTTATTTACAAGATCAGATTCCAATGCTATTAGGAGATGTTGAAGAATGCATTAAACTTCTTAGACAATGAAATCAAAGTAAGATTTTAGATTGTTCTTTTCTTTTTTCTAAGAGAAAATTATTAAATTTGTTGCGCTTCTTGTACACTGGAATCACTTGATGAAAAAGTAATTTATTATTGACAACAAAAAAAAATTCTCATCTTAATACTTCTTCTGAAGGTCTTTAGAAAAAAAAACAAAACAATATAGAAAATTTTATAGTTTTCTAATATTTTCAGCTAAAAGTCCTGAAATCTAGTTATAAATTTTCGTGCCAGTATATCAATTCTTTTGAGGTTCTAAATAATATCTAAGAATGTTTAATTATGTCTAGCATATCCTTTATCTAAAGATTTTCCCGTACTATTGGATAGAGAAGTTTATGATAATTATCGATGTTGCTTTTGATATTGACAGATAAGATTTTTTTGAAAATAGATTACAATAAATTACCATGTCATAGTTAATTTAGTGTTCCTGCTTTGATTGATATCCATTTGAATGTAGATTTTAAAAAAGTAAGAAAACTTATCATATTCTATGTCAAAAAAGAAATAGGTCGGTAGACTGAGATTTCAACAAAGATGTTATTACTTGTTCTTTATTTAATTGATATGTTAGATATGAAGTATTAAGATAGACATACATTTAATCAATATTAATCTCGTGTTAAATTTCATAATTCAAAATAAAATATATTTTTTTAGTTACTTGAAACAAATCTACATGCTAAATTAATTTTACCACCATGTCCAAGAAGTCAACAAGAATTAAAGCAGGTTTAATATCAAACAGAACAGCAAAACTTGCTGCAAACATTCATATTGATGAAATAGCAAGAAGTGGTGAAGATTGGACTGATGATGCAATAAAAATTGAAGGTGTAAGTTGAGATGATACTGAAATTGAATTATCACCTGATCTTTATGTTTTTATTCAAATATATAAATTATTTGTTTACTTCATAAATATTTTAAAGTTATTTTAATTATTAAGGCGTAATGAACATTGACCAAAATTATTGTATCTACTACTTGGATTAAAATTAGAAAAATTAGTTAGACGCCTTCAAATTGCTTATTGTTTAACAAAAAACGAATAATTTCAAGATGAACAATGAATTGAAATATGTAAAGAATATATTGTTACTTGACAAATGTCAATGACAAAAACGAAGATTTAGCGAAAGATGATGAAAAACGTTGATATGAATTAGTTGTCTGTTTTACTTATTGACAATTACAATCAATGCACAAAATCATAAAATTAAAATCTGCAGTTAATCAAGCATTTAAATTAAAAATTTATACAACTGCAACAAGCTTCACCAAACGTTTATTGAAATTGGAACCAACACCTGATGTTACTCAATAGATTTTCTGTTTTAGTATTAATCTTTCATTTTCAAAAGAAATACTCTCATTCTTTCTACTTCAACTTTGAAAGGTTTTAAAATAAACCAAAAAAACAAGAAAGAAAACATATCTTTAATGTACTCAAGATATATCAAATCTGTTGATCGAAGTTGTTCATGTGTTTTTGATTTATTGGAAACAAATGAGTTTATTCTTTGTTAGATGAAACATAATTTTGATTGAATTATTTTAGAAGGGGAACAAAAAAATAATTTTTTTTTTGTATTATTTTGTTTAGACACGAAGAGTATTAAATGTTTGTGAAAAAAATCCAATTGATGAACATCCATTAAATTATGATGAATATAATCCATTTAATATTTGTGCTGCATCCAATGTACCACATTTATCGGTATGAAATTTAAAAATGAAACCGAATTTAATTTAAAGTAATCTTTAATTCTTGTTTAGTGAAAATCCATTATCCGGTGCAGTCCATTTACCGGAATTTATAGGACAATTATGTCGAGTTACAAAAGCAACTGAAATTGGAATTCTAATTCTATTATCATTATTATTAACTTTTAATGCATATATTGATCATTTTGAAAAAGTAACTTATCATTAAAACGTTTTTCTTTTATTTCAAGATAAAGAAATCCGTTTCTAAAACGAGAATTTAGAATCAATACATTTGTGTGAAATAATTTCACTTTAGTAGCCACTGAAATTCTATGATAATGTATGGATAAATAATCTCATTTTATGAAACGATATCAATGCAACTGAGTACTTTATAATTGTTTAAGAAATTTTATCGACATGATTTCATTTGATATTCAACCTTTGCAATATCTCGATTGATTAACTCAATTAGTAACCTACGCACATCTATTAAGTCATTAATAAGACAAAGAGATAATTAAATGTCTAGCGATATCCTTTTTTTTTATAGATTTCTTCATATTAAAATAAAAATAAAAATGAACAATGAGAAATAAATTTTCATTCTCAAAACTAAAATGGAAGATAATAATGATAATGATGATTTTCCATTCAATGGTTTATTTTCCCCAATTGAAAAAATCGTCACTGATTTCGATTGACTTTTCTCCTGTTTCTCAACTACAGAGTTTCAAAGTAAAAATAAAACAAAGCCTATTCTAAAAACGAATTTTCTTAAATTAATATCGTTTGTAGATAGTCATCATGGTGATGAAAATCTTGACTCTACTATAGAAAAACATGATCTTAATGAAGCATTTCCAAGAACTGTTACAATAACAACAATGAAACAAGAAACAACATAATTGGAAAGATGTGTTATTGAAAAACAAATTCAATAATCATTAAATCAAAATGAAAATATACAAAACTGAAACAATGAGTAAAGTATGTGGAGATAAACATCATACAACAGTAAAACAAGATGGTAAAATAATTTGAGAATATGGAAATGCAACAATGAATGAATTAAAACAAATTGATAAAGACATCCGGATTTTTTTAAAAAGCTTTTTTCTTAAAAAAAAGCTTTTTGTTCAAATGATCTACTAAAAATAAATGAAAGAAAATATTATTTGAGTTTGTTTTTTTTTTATTTTGAAAAAAAAACATGTAGTTGTCTCCCTGTTTTTTACTTAATATATTTTATTTTTTCTGCTTCATCAAAACTAAATCTCTTTTCCGATTGAAAATAAACTTGTCAACAATACCATCATTTTCCTCAACAACAACAGAAATAAAAGAAAAAAAAGTGCCAATTCAGGTCGGATGAACATCCAACAGTTTATAAACAACTAGACAAAAACATATTTTTCGCTAATCTTCATTTACAACTAACTCACAAATTAGAATATCAATTTAATCTTGTTATTAGTTTCTTAGAAAAAAAAAATCTACAAATATTTCAATATCAATCTTCACCATAAAGTATATTATTTAGATACGTTGGATAATAGATGAGTATCATTCGTGGAGGAAGAAACTTTTCTTTTCTTGATATTCTCATTAATCATTGAGTAACACTGTTAAAGAACACATAAACGGATGCGAAGAAAGTTTTGCGAAAATTAAGAAAGTTATTGTTCTCCTCCTTTTCTTCTGACGATTATTTTCCTTTTATTTTCACTAATTCATTAAAAAAAGGGCGAATGTGTTAATTTTCTTCTGATCTAAAGTCACACCCACACCCTCAAGTCTGATTATCAGAGTGATAGATTTTATCAGCACAGGCACTAAGCACGTACATGTCAGCCGGTTATCTAAGTCATGGTATGATAGGAAATTTGGATGTTTTGAAAAACAAGACAATTGAAAATAAGAACCATGAAAAGCAGTGGTATATATTGTTTATTTCTAGAAATAAAAGTCTCTGTGGTGACTAGTCTAAGGAAAAACATTGTTTTTTTTTATATCTCACAGTCATAATAGTGATAGAAACTGTATAGTCTTTCTTTGAACAATAGTTCTGATCAGTCTAATTTGATACTGACATGGCAGCAGGCTATAGATTGAAAGGAGTTGTAAAAACTGCGATGCTCGAAACAGGCTTCAAAATGGACAACTTTTTCATAGTATAGACTTGTCCGATCCGATAAAAATTTCGTTTACAAAGATTTCTTCTAGTTGTACTTGAAGATGATTTCGCCATCTTTGAAGAACTTGATACATTGAAATGAATATAACATGATATATCTTTCTGAAGACTTCTCACAAATTGAATCTCACAATGACAATCGATATTTAAACGATTTTTTCGACACTAGTTAAAAACTTATCGACCATTTACAACTCTATTTTGTGCTATGAAAAATTAAGTCTTGAGTCTAACTTTCATCCTAATTCCTTGTTTTGTTGTGATTTCTAGTTTATCTATTAATAAATAAATATCAGTAGGACTCCTTAGTGTAATTGTTAATCTTTCATGTATACTATTAATTCAATAAGAATTATTACATTTCAATTCATTTTTCTTTAAAAAGAATATCAATAAAAAAAGTTATTAGCACAAATACTGTGAAATTAAGACATGAGATAAAACGAAACTGTGATGTGGTATAAAAAATAAAATAATCAGTATATGTTTCAATTTGTGAATTGTACCTATTGTGAATAAATGTCGATCATGAAATGTATCACTTCCAATATAGTGCAATGAGTATGAAGGAAAAGTAAAGGGCAATTATCATACTAAGCTCAGTTCTTACATAAGAAGTACATCAACAAGATTCAAGTGTATGGATATTGCTGGAATAAAATTTGAGTTAGTATATGTTCGAGTCGAAGCCAGGAGCTGATAGAGTCCAGATTCAGTTTTTTGTTCTTCGGGTCCACGAAAATGTACACCTGCAGCTCAATAACTTCAACAGTCCTTTTAGATCGTGTTTGACAAAATTTTTAAAAAAGTTGTTTTATTATTCTTTTGAAAAAGCTTGTTAGCATAGTTCATTTAGTGTCGATATATGGAACTCATATATACCACATAATATAGAATAGTTGCTAAGATCTATAATGGGGCGAGGAGTTGAAAGCTTTCAATTTAAAATTTACATTCATTATATTCTTCGAAAATATATGAAAGTTCTACAAAAAACACTTTTACATTAATTTAATAGAGTTGATTGCATAATATATTTTTCTATTTATCATGAGATAAAATCTTAATATCATTTTGATCATTAAATAGATGTGTTAATTGTATTATTTATTCAACATTTTCAATAGATAAATTTGGAAATATTTTTAATCAGTCAGATTTATGTTAAAAGACGTTTTGCATTAATCTTACAATCATTAATTTGTAATTCAAATTGTTATAATGTTATTTATCAATTTCTTTTATTTTTTTTCATCATAATCAACAAGTTCTTTGTTTTTCTAATGTTAAATTTTTGAAAAAATGTCGATAAATCAATTATGATTTCAAAGTAATTTTTGTCTAATTTGAAAAATAGAATAAATCAATGAAATTTGAGAGTTTTTTATTTATAGAAAACTTCTTCAACAGGTGTTTAAATTACCTGTCTGACACAGGCTTATCGAAACTGGAACTAATTCTTTTCTTTGATCGACTACCAGAATCAAGACTAGAAATCAGAGCGAAATCTAGATTTAAATGAGATGTGGTGTTACTTTATGCGATTCTGAATAAATCTCTTTATGAAAACCTCAACAATATTATGGATATATCACATTTATCTGGTCCAGGTAACAGCAAGATAAGTTTTATCAATTGTTTCGTATTTACTGACGAGAAAAAAGTTGAAAACAATTTCGTTTGAATGCCTCCTTATTCTAACCCATATGCTTTTGCTAGAGTTCAAGGGTACTTCATAAAACGTGTTGGAACGGGCGTTTTTTCATTAAAAACGCAAACAATCAGTTCGAGAACACTTTCTTCTTATAACTAAATTTCAACGCTCATATGCTTATACTCGTGCCACTGTAGCTATACTGTTAGATGTACACTTCTTTAGATAAATTTTATACCAAGTTGAAATTCACACATAATTTTTTAATTGATCAGCATCAAAAAAAGTAAGACTTCTTTGAAAATTTTATCCAATGGATATATTTAATAAAACGACGTTGTTTAGTCTCGATTGAACTACATTGCGGTATGACATTATAATTCCAGCAATTAGAGGTCGAAAAAATAGATGAGGTTCAGTATTTCACACTTCTAGCAATAGTAAAATAAGTTTGTTTAGTTTGTTATACAACTTTCATTCAATCACTATAACTTTCATGGATTTGAGTAGTATCAAACACTATCACTAGATCATGTAAATATAATATAACAAAAACAATGTGATTTAGCACGCTGTTTCGAACGAATTTCTTTTTTGCGGATATTTCCAACAATTTGTCAATGCTAACGAGAGAATCTTTCCAGATTCTTCATTCTAAATTAGGGATGCACCGGTGACGATTCACCGTTCACCGGTCTCACCGGTCGATCGATTCACCGTCCACCGGTTCACCGGTCGGTACGGTGAACCGGTGGACCGGTGAAACCGGTGAACGGTGAACCGGTGGACCGGTGAGACCGGTGAACGGTGAACCGGTGGACCGGTGAGACCGGTGGACGGTGCACCGGGGTACGGTGGGCCGGTGGGACCGGTGCACCGGTCACTTTTCTGTATTTCGGTGTCTCTCCTATACGGTACATCTCAGTAACTCGAGTACTTAATTTTCTTAGAAGAAGTGATCCCTCGTCCTAATTAATTTTGGGGAATATTGATCAGAACTTTGGCGTTAAACAGAGAATCGAGCTGATAAGGTTGTAAAAGGCCATAATGGAGACTGGCATATTAGTACTACTGGAAGCATTCAGTCTTCTGTTGTCTGAGTAATAGCGGAAACCGGTTATCATCGCAAATTTTCGTAGTTCTATATGGACAGTATTGATATTGACTAGAAATACAACGGTGTAGGTCATTTCACTGGTGAAAACCGATACCTATACCCAT